CACAAAAAGAGGAGGCCAGCGAGGGCAAAACATCGCCTGTGACTGCCGTCTCAATATGCGCCTTACTGGAATATAAAGACGGCTGAAACATGGCCATCGGAGCCGCTAGTGCACTCATTCACCCTCTATCACTCCAGTCGCGGGTTAGGATTCACCATCCGCAGGGGTCACGAGTTCAACCAGATGCATTTCACTACCTCTCGAGTGGCTGACGGTGCACCCGCTCATCTCGACGGTCGACTCAAGGTACTTAAACACACACATACACACACACTCTGTGGGCGCGTGTGAATCCCAGACTTGTATTTGCTAACTAACACATCCATTTACCCCTCGTACACACGGTTAGGAAGAGTGGGGTTGAGATATGGATGCGTGATACTTCATTACTGGGGATATGGAAGAACCTGAATGCAGGAGGTTGAAATGCGAGATGAAAGTAGAAACTACGTAAATGCAACGTCTACTTGTAGACACGCTGAGCCACCACTATTATCGATCCACGTAGTACGTTAAGGAACCTTTACTGCTGCCCATGAGATCCCATGAATTACGGTGGAAATATCCTAACTGGTTTAAGCTCACGATAAAGACAGAATAATAAATTGAGCAGCGAAACAATCCTCATGGATGACTGGGTTTGCTGTATTGGCTATGGCTTCAACTTAGGGATTACACACAGACAAACAGAAAACTTGCAGTCAGATGGTCAGGGAGCTCAAATTTGACGTCTGCAAATTGTTTGCCAAATGCACAAGCCAGCTTTGTGATGGGAGAGTGGCAAATGATGCACACTCAAAGACACTTGATCCACCCAACAAATTACGACAGGTACGGATTTCTTTATTCAACTGATAAGTTAGGTAAGTACGCTTATTGTTACATGCTAGCAATTGCGAGAAACCGCAGTTCTTGTCCATGGTAGGGACCGGAATAATAATCTTAACTAGAATACTGACACGTGGGAATTCACCTTCGCAATATATTTGATCAATTTAGAATGCGCTACAACTTGTAGTGAAGACAACATTGACTAGACGTGACAATTTTATCATCAATGGTATTAATAATACCAAAATGAGGGAATAAAATCTTATTTATGTTCATTGCAATCTCTGGAAATTGAAGTTAATTTTGATTTGAGCAGTGTCGGATAATAATAATGTACTCATTGCACAGAGGGTCGCTTCTTTTCTCTGCAAACGTCACTGGATTATCAAGGAGGTCGACGGCACCGGTCTCCGACTCCACGAGGCACGTCTCCGCGTTCAGTGCAGTTGCGTTCACACCCCTTAAATTGATGAAAGCAAATTGCTTCGACAAAGCAACCAGTTCAATTTACATACAGACACGACACATTACGGCACTGCCCCATTCTCTGAGAGAAATTGCCTGAAGAAAAAATACCTATCGTAATGTAACAATCCTTGCGTATGACTCACTTACAGAAGAGCAGTACCTGGCGTTGAAGCAACCCAACAGGAACTTCCTACAAGCAAATTTATGCCTCTCAATTTGAGTTAAATGGTTTTTAGTAAATCTATAACAGCGAAGATGACAATTGTAAGGTTTAATTCCGTAGTTGAACGTAATTTGACAAACAAATACAAAAAACGGCAAACGTTGAACTCAAAACATGGCACATAATATTCAAGCAAGCACGCTTGCCAAGGGCAATATATATAAAAGGTGTACGTACGCTTCGGGCAAAATGACAGCTTGAAAAGGCACAGATTCACCTCTGCGACTGCCAATTTGCCTGAAGGGTTGAGAGGTGCTGGTAGCGAAACAGTCGCGAGTCTTACCAAAAGCACCGGGTGAGGTACAGCTGTAATCATCAGATTTGCTTGCCGCGTCGTAGAAATAGGGGCCCTTGCCAAATATATACCCTGCTTAAGGCGCCTCAGGAGGTGCTATTTGTCACCCTTGTGCTCTACCAAGCAAGAAGGACGAGGGGCGCATAGATAAGCAATTATAGCTACTTAAATGGATTTAAGTAGAAGAAGAGTACCCACAGGATGCCTGCACGGTTTGTGCGACGAGTACGGAGCCAGAGCATCATGCGATTGTCCAGCGCCTTTATGCGCTCCGACTCCCCCTCCCTCAAAAAAGTGTATATCATCTCCGGAGCATAAATGAAATGCGGTAGAGCGTGAGTGATTTACAGGTAGTCCGCAATCCGTTCAAACTTCTCCATGTCCAGATCACGGGCTGACAGTACAATCAGAAAAGAGTTGTTATTAAGCTATTGACGATTAAATTGATTGAAAAAGCTCAACATGCGGACCCCAATCTGGTTCTTGAGTTTCTCATAGCGCTCATCGAGAGGATTGACGTTGGAGTCGCTAGCCTTCATAAGGAAATAGGCTACATCCAGATTCGGTCATTCATCTAACATTCGAGACTTGGTTTTGATCACCTTCGATTTGTCCAGCACGGGTAGCACCTTCAGACCAAAGGCGTGCGGAATACGCACATCAAAGTGCATTGTGCTACCAATCAAGCTACTCATGTCTAGCTATTTGATCGGCATTTTCAAAGCTGGTAAGCTAGAAATCACTTGAACGCCAGAGGCTGCCTGAATCATCTGCATGCGTGACATCTTCCACAGTGGCAC